TCTCTCTCTCTCTCTCTCTCTCTCTCTCTCTCTCTCTCTCTCTCTCTCTCACCTGCTACCTGAAGATCAGGAAGTAAAGCTCCCAGCTGCTGCTGTAACATGATACCTTCCTGCCTGTCTGCTTCCCAACATACTGACTGCGGACTAGCCCTCTGAAACTAAACCAGACTCCAGTTAAATGTTGTCTTCTTTTTTGTTTTGTTGTTGTTATTGTTGTTTGAGACAGGGTTTCTCCATGTAGCCTTGACTGTCATGGTACTTGCTCTGTAGATCAGGCTGGGCTGGAACTCAGAGATCTATTTACCTCTGCCTCCTGAGTGCTAGGATTAAAGGCAGACACCACCACCGCCTGGCTGTTTGTTTTTGTTTTTGTTTTTGTTTTTGTTTTGAGGCAATTCTCTTTATATAGCCCTGGTTGGCCTGAACTGGTTGTGTAAACATGGCTGGTCTCAAAACTTACAGAAATCTGCCTGCCTCTGCCTCCTGAGCGTTGTTATTAAAAGTGTGTGCACTATACCGATCTCAATTATTTCGTTTTTGTTTTTGTTTTACCAAACAAGGTTTCTCTGTGTAACCCTGGCTGTCCTGGGACAGTAACTAAGATGCAGGGTCTGCTGCCCAGGTGGCCTTAAACTCCCTATGGTGCAATTGGAAGAGCTTGCTGCTCTTCCAAAGGATTGAGTTTGGTTCCAAGCACTCACATCAGCCACCTGTAACTTTAGCTCCCAGGAGTTCAACACCCTCCTCTGACCTTCTTGGGCACTCACCTGCACATGCATGAACACAGATATACAGACACAGACACACACACAGACACACACACACAAATTAAAAATAAAATCCTCAGGGGCTAGAGAGATGGTTTAGCAATTAAAAGTATTTGTTACTTGAGAACCCAGGTTTGGTTCCCAGCATACACATGGAAGCTCACAGTCATTTGTAAATCTTGTTTTGGGGATCTAGTGCTGTCTTCTGGCCTCCATGAGCACCAGGCGTAGATGTGGTACACATACATACATGCAGTCAAAACAAAAATAAACAGATCTTTAAAATTTTAAATAAAACAAATAAATCTTTTTTGGTTTGGTTATTTGGTTTTGTTTGTTTTCTGAGACAGGGTTTCTCTGTTTAACAGTCTTAGATTTGCTAGAACTTGCTTCATAGACCAGGCTGGCCTCAAACTTACAGAGATCAGCCTACCCTCTACCTCCCGAGTCCTGGGATTAAAGGCATGCACCACCACTGCCCATCTTTCTGTTTTTCTATCACTCTAAGCTCTGTTCCCCTCTGCACAGGCAGGTCTCAGCGCCTGCCACACTCTTCCCTAGGGTCTTCCGGCTGGCTCTCAGGACAAAGGTCCCTTCCTAAGGCAGGCTTCATCCCACCATGGGCTGAAGTCTTCTCTTTGTCTCCATTTAGTCCCCTGTTTATTTGTTCTGTCTTTACAAGTCAGGTGACCTCTGAGAAGCTGGAGTTTGCCTGGTCCGCAAACACGAGGAGGTTGGGGTTCTGAAAGCCACCCCCAGCACCAAGCCTGTGGGTGCACACTTGTAACCTTAGCACTTGGGATTTGGGAACAGGAGGCTCGAGAGTTCAGGATGATCTGCCCTACTCAGAAAACTCATTGTCTCAAGAGACAGAAACAGCTGGAGATGGCTCAACATTAAGAGCATATACTGCTCTTGCTGAGGGCCTGAGCCTAAGTTCCCACTAACACTTTAGGTGGCTCACAATTGCTGTAACTCCAGCTCCAGGGAAGTCTGCCACTCTGACCTCTGTGAGCACCAATATCCGTGTGCACATACCCCCGGTGCCCAAAATTTTACAAATCTTAAATAGAAATAAAAGGATACACACACACACACACACACACACACACAGCTGGCTTTGAACTCACAGAAATCTGCCTGCCTCTGCCTCCCGAGTGCTGAGACTAATGGCGTTCACCACCTCACCCAGCCAGGTATTATTGTTTTTAAAGCCTGGCATAGACAGGTAAAGTGGTGTATGCCTTTATTTCCAGTACTTGAAAGGTGAATCACTGTGGGTTTCAGGACTGCCTGGTCTACATTCCAGGACTTCCAGGGCTACAAAGTGAGACCCTGTATCAAAAGCAAAACAAAACCAAGAGTCAACCATGGTGCCTCAGGCCTGCAACCCCAGCACTCAGAAAGTAGAAGCAGACAGGCTGCTGTGAATTCCAGAAGAGCCTGGATGGTGGAAGGACCCTGTTTCCAAAAAACTAAAATCATGCTGGGCAGTGATGACTCACACACGCCTTTGATCCCAGCACCGGGAGGCAGAAGCAGAAGGATCTGGTCTAATCGTGAGTTCCAGGACAGCCAGAAAAACCCATCTCAGAAAGACAAAAGCAAACAAAAACCTCAAAACAAGCAATAAAAACACATACATACAAAATGATGACAACACTTAGAAGGTGGACCAGGAGAAGGACAGTATGGTGGCTCATGCTTCTAAACCTAACCCTTGAGAAGTTGAGGCAGGAGGATTAGGAGTTCAAGCTTGGGCTACGTAAGGCCCGGACTCGGGTCAGGGAGATGATTAAACAGATAAAAGTATTGTAAGCTAGCCTCGTGACCTGAGTTCAGTTCTGGGACCCACACAGCAGAAAGAGAGTACCAACTTCCAGAAATTGACTTCTGACTCCCACATACACATACATACATACATACATACATACATGCATGCATGCATCTTACACTGATGTAGGATTTCCCTCTATAGGCTGTGAATATTTTTTATCACCATTTGTCAAAAAAGAAGCTGCTTTGGCCTATCGCAGGGCAGAACAGAGCTAGGCAGAAAAACTAAACTGAATGCAGGGAGAAAGAAGGCACAGTCAGGCAGATGCCAAGTAGCAGCCCAAGAAGCAAGAGGTAACAAACCATGAGCCTTGCGGTAAAATATAAAATAATGAAAATGGGTTCATTTAAGATGTAAGAGTTAGTTAATAAGAAGCCTGAGCTAATAGGAAAAACAGTGCAGTAATTAATATAGTTTCTGTGTGATTATTCTGGTCTGGGCAGACAGGAACAAAAAAGTAGTCTCTGTTTACAAATGACACTTTATGTACATGAATACATAAATAAAGTGTAACAAAAAGCTTAATAATTATTACAAAAATTAAGGTACTGTCTAAAAACACCAAAAAAGGAAAAAGTGGGGGTTGGGTATGGTGGTTTATGCCTATATTCCCAGAAGTTAGGAGGCTGAGACTAGATGATAACTGAGTCGAAGGGTAACCTGGGTTACAGATTGAGTTCCAGGTGCAACCCTACCTCAAAACCAAACAAAAAGAAAGGAAAGGACAGAAAGGAACAAAAGCCCAGTCACTGACACCTCTGAAGGGGATGGCCACAGTGCACATCTTGGGGAGTGAAGGGCTAAGCAGACAGAGGAAGGAGAACCAGATGCTTCTGGGCACCAAGGAAAGGTAACCTGACCCCTGCCCCCGGGAAGTGAAGATAGATAGGCCTGTCCCTTGTCCCCCAGGAGTTTCCGACTAAACAAACATCCAAGAAAATGCTGACTCTGCTTACACAGGGAGCCCTGAAGGTCAGCTGCTGGACAGTCCAGCCAGGACTGCCCTGGGAAGGTTCAGGAAAGGATTCCCTCATGGAGGAACTGCAGGAGGACAGTGCCTCGCCTTGCAGTGAGGAGAACATTCCAACCAGAGGGGACGGGCACCAGAAAGGCCTAGAACAAGGCAGGCAGGCACCAGGGACATCTGAGGAACTCCTGGACACTCGTATGGACAGATATATGCAGAGTGAAGGGGAACTTGGTGTCAGATGAAGCTGACTGTGTAGAGCCTCAGAGATTCCAGATTCATATCAGGCCAGTTAGGAGACCAGAGAGCCAACATCACAGGGATATGGAGGGCCAGGTAAGCTGGTTATAGTGTTTGGTTAGAGACACAGCTGGGAACTGGAACACAATCCTCTGGGGACAAAGCAAGGAGTCAGAGAGTGTTTCTAGAGCCACGACTCACTCCCATCCCCTGACCTGAGACCTCAGGTCATTTGCTTCCCGGTATTCCACGGCTCCAGCAAGAACCAGCAGTCTCCAGGTCAAGCATAAAGAATTTGCCAAAAGGAAACTTTTAATCCCAGCACTTGCCGGGCGGTGGCACCCGCCCGCACGCCTTTAATTCTAGCACTCTTAAAGCAGAGGCAGGAAGCTCTCTGTGTAAGGCCAGCCTGATCTACAAAGTAAGTTCCAGGCCATCAAGGGCTACAGAGACCCTGTCTCAAAGAAAATGAAGGAAAAGGAGAAGTGAGAAAGAGAAGAAAGGAGAAGAGGAGGAGGAAGAGGAGGAGGAGGAAGAGGAAGAGGAGGAGAAGAAGGAGGAGGAGGAGGAGGAGGAGGAGGAGGAAGAACTTGGAGGGGTGGGGTGGAGGGGCGTAGGAGAGACTGAAGTGTTCATAGATGGGGCTGTGGGCAGCTCAGTGCTGCAGCACTTACTCAGCACCCACAGGCATGGTGAGTGTTTCAGGTGCCTGTGGACAGATGATGAAGAAAACAGATGCCAGACCAACATGCCTTGCTATGCCCTCAAAAAACAAAAGCCGAAACTGAGTCAGCTCCACGCTAGTTCCATCATCATGCGCTCTGCACCCTGACCATCCCCAGCCTCTTTTTTACTCATTTTCTGGCCCTTTCCTTATCCCCTCTTTTTCTTCTCCAGTCTCTGGTCTATGAAGGCAATAAATCAGAGCAGAGTCAGGGTGACATACTGGGATATTGGTGCCACCTCCTGGTGGTCACAGGGACTGCAGCATCTTGTTTTGGCCTGGCTCAGTGGAGGTTTGTGTTGGGAACCCTATGAAACAATGTCTTCTCCAGCTTGTCCCATTATGATATTCTTGGAGGACAGTTTTCAGACTTTTAATTTTTTTAGGTTTATTTATTTTATTTCGTGTGTATGAATGTTTTATCTGCAGTGTGTCTGCACACTGCAGAACTCAGATGAGATCATCAGATCACCCAGTCCCAGATGGTTGTGAGCCAATGCATAGGTGCTGGGAATGGAACCCTGTGGCCCTCTGCAAGAGCATCAAGTGCTCTTAACCACTGAGCCCTCTCTCCAGCTTCCCCTTGGAGGACAGTTTTCTTCAGAAAGAAGTTGCTAATCCATACTCAGGGGAGCTGCTAAGTAATTGCTTCTATCCAAAGCTCTCCGCTGACTGCAGGATTGGGTCTAAGCTCCCTAACACAGCCCAGGCCTGCAGGGTATGGCTTCCTTTCCATGGATTTCAGTCTGTCCCTCCTCAGTTCCAATCCCCTGACAGGCCCTCCCACATGAGTGCCTCCAGCCCAGCACAGGATTGCTGCCTTTTTCTAGCACACTCTCTTCCTCCCTATTGAGTCTCCAAACGTGCTCCTCTTCCAGCTCTTCAGTTCCTCAGCCTCAGAGACTTTCCTGTACCTCTGCAATAGCCTCAGGTGGGAGAAAGTGTCTCAGAGCAGAACTCTAGAGTCCAAGATCCTTTCCTGGGTGGGAACTTCGCTGTGTAATTCCCTCGCTAAGTCACATGGGGGTGACAGTGCATCAGGAAAACCACTCCCCTCTGCCTTTCAGGCAAAATAAAAGCTAAGGAGTTACAGAGCCGGCCTTGGAGGGAAAAGTACTTAACCTGCCGGCCTGGATTCAATCTCTGGAACCCACATGGTGGGAAGACAGAGGAGACTCCTGAAAGCTGTCCTCTGACCTCCACGGGCACACTGGGGCATGTGGGTCATTCCACCCTCCCCATCCCCCCACCCCTGCATTATATGCGCGTTTTGTTTTTAAAGCTGAGTAGTGATGCCCTTAGGAGACTCAGATCTACTGAGAATCCTTACCACATCTCAGTGAAGGAACAGTCCATTCAAACCCCCAATGGACGGGCGGAAATGACGGTTCAGAGACGTCAGATGGCCTGACCAAGATTACCCAACCAGAGTTTGAACCTGTTCAGTGTGTCTCCCAATCTGGCGGGGGTCACTTCCGGTCCTGAGCTAAGAGACCTGTTCCAGCCTCTGCTGACCCTCTGGGAAATGTGCTGCTTAGCCGAGCTGGCCCAGCGGAGTTTCCCCCTCGGCAGCGGAATGCTAGAGAAGACGGATCACTTTTGTGTTGTTTGCAAAACGGGTGGGGTGATGGACGGTTTGTGCCTCTGCTGTAGAAAAGTGGGTCTGAGGGACGAAACCTTCCTTCCTCCCATATATGCGTGTATAGAATATAGTGTATATATATTCAGGCAATGTAATGTATATGCATTCTAGACCCTAGAGACTGCATTCCCAGACTCTTCTAGCTTCAAAAAAAAAAACAACAAAAACCAGATGGGTGGTCCTGCATATCTTTAATACCAGCACTCCAGAGGCAGAGACCGGAAGATCTCCGTGAATTCAAGGCCAGCCTGGTCTACAGCGTGAGCTCCAGAACAGCCAGAGCTGTCAAACAGAGAAACTCTGTCTAGAAAAGCCAAAAGTAATGTTGCAAATAAATAACCAGAGGCAACTAACTAAACACTTTCAGTCAAACCTTATGCCGACTTTACTTATTTATTTATTTTAATTAATTAATTTATTTATTTTGGGGTGTTAGGGACCAACCCAGAACCTTGTTCATGTTAAACAAGTGTCTGCAATCCTAGCCTCAAGCATTCCTTTTGAGACAGGGTCTTGCTACCCTGTTTGGCCTAGAACTCACTACGTAGAGTAGAACAGGTTCACCTTAAAACTCAGACGTGTGACTGCCTCTGCCTCCCAAAGGCCACCACACCCAACTCAGCTGCTAAGCATTCTTTATCACTGTACTGGTTATGAGAGGCTAAAATACTCAAGCAACTAACACGCATCCTAACTATGTGCTCAGATATATCGTTATAAATAGAAACATAGCTTTAACTATATGCTGAGGATGAAGTCCAGGGCCCAGAGTTTGCTAGGCAAATGCTATACTACTGAACCCTACCCCACTCCCTACCCGACCCCAAGGCTTATTTATGAAATAAAAAGTTACATTGAGCCTGTACTGGTAAAATATCCAGGGCAGAGTTTGGAACTCTGGGGCAAGTCTGGGATAGAGATTGAGCTCAGGCATTGCTGGGGTTTAGGAGGTGCAAGGGAAGATAGGAGAGACTCCTCCCTGGAGGAAAAGGACGCTGTGTCTGGGATGTGACAGAGAACACTTCCGGTTCATGGGAGGTCAGGGTGGGAAAAGAAAAGGCAAACCCATCTCATGGAAACCTTACTTACAAGGGGCTCAGAGGATTCTGGGATGCCCTGGAAACCCCACTGATTCCAAAGTCAATGTGAAATAAAGATTGTCAACTGCCCGCAGATTCACTATCGAAGATCTGAAGCCAGATTACTGCTGGGGCTGGGACAAAGGTCGTCTTGGGGAGAGAGCAGGAGAGGAGATAAGAGGCTGGGGCCTGGAGATAGCTGCTTTTCTCCTAAGTGGGGGGTAGGGGAGTCAGGAAAAGAAGATGGGAAAAGAAGGAAGGTAAGAGCTGGTACTCTACCAGAGCTAGAGGCACAAAAACTCAAGGAAGCACAAGAGCGCGGGTGAATGGGAGAGAGGATGCTTGGACGGTCAGTCCAGCCCCGCCCCTCCTGTCTGAGCGCTGACATCCGGGAGTTGCAAATCCTGATGGATGGGCACCGAGCGGCAGCTGGATCTGGGGCATACTTAACAGGACGAGACTTGGCAGTCTTTTCCCGCTCCGCCCAGCTTGCAAAGCTCGCCTTTCTCCAAGGCTCCACATTACAAGCCAACAACAGGGCCTTAGCCGAGGCGGCCACCGATTGGCCGTGGCAGCCACGTGACAAAGGCGACCCTGAGCCGCCCTCCTGGGAACTGCAGTCCCACGTGCGGCCGAGGCGCCGCGTGGTGTTGCCCGCAGCGTTATCGCGGGTTTGCAGGCAAGCAACTGGGAAGCGGAGACCCAGACTCCCACGGTCCTGTCCCGCAGGCTGGATGAGGAAGTGCCCCCCAAACCTAGTGCCAGGACATCGTGTCCTTTGGCTAAGTCTCACGCTTCTCACATGTTTCTCATCCAGTTACTGTCTGACCTTTTTAATCTGGATGTGGTACCCCAGACCTGTAATACCACCGTTGAAAGGATCCGAGCTCAAGTTCAGCACTGACTACCCAATATGTAGACTCTTGAAAAACAGAGAAGGAAGAGGGAACAAGGATGGAGGGAAGGAGGAAAAGAAGTAATATTTTAGGTTTGGGGGATTAGTTCAACTGCTAAAGGTTTGATGGGCGAACAAAGACCTAGGTTCGAGCTGTAGGCCTTCTCCCCCCCCCCCCAAAATAGCACCGCGTGGTAGTGATCTTTTGTTATACAACCCGGGGAGGTGGAGACAGGAGGATCCCTGAAGCTCCTGGCTTACCAAGGAGCCCAGCCGAATATTGATCCCCAGGTGAATGGCTCCTGAGGAGCTATGTGGGAGATTAACCTCTTGCCCACACTTGCATCTACACACATCTTCATCATCATAAATAGTCTTGAAAGTAGTGTTTTAGGTCTGGGGGTGTGGCTTAGCAGCCTACTGGTTATGAATCCCAGTACCATAAAAAGTAAATAAATATCATTTTAGGAACGTGGAAGGAAGCACAACTAGTTGAAATGAGGTGCCCATCAAGTGATCTAGAGCAGATCTTTTGCTTGGTTGGCCTTCACATCCCCTTTCTATCAAAGAGGACTCTCTGGATGGAGCTGGCAGGATGGCTCAGGGACAACAGCACTTGCTGCCAATCCTGTGACCCCAGTTCAGTCTCCCCGGATCTGTGTAGCAGAAAGAGGAATTAACTCCTAAAAGGTGTCTTATGACCTTCACAAGAAACCATGGCACAAGCCTGTCCACAACCCACCCATAATCACATTCATATACAAAATAAATTCATCCATGCCTTTAAAAGCCAAGGGGCTGGAGCGATGGCTCAGAGGTTAAGAGTGTGTGTTGCTCCAACACACGGATCAGAGTTTAGACCTCAGCACCCATGCCCGGTGACTCCCAAGACCTGTAACCCCAGCTCCAAAGGGTCTAGTGACTCCTCTGGCGTCCACAGGTATTAGCACACGGAAATGAATGAACATGAATAGTAAAGATTCTAGCACAGTGGTTGGTGGCACACACCTTTAATCCCAGCACTGGCAGGTAGAGGCAGGCAGATTTCTGTGAGTTTGAGACTAGCTTGGTCTACAGAGTGAGTTCCAGGACAGCAGGGATACACAGAGAAATCCTGTCTCAAAAACCAAAAACCAAAAACAAACAAACAAAAATACACAAAAAACAGGACTCTTATTTACCTTGTGTTAGAGATTCTGTGTGTGTGTTTGGTGTGTGTGTGGTATGTGTGAAGTGTATGTATGTGCCGTGTGTAGTGTGTAATGTATGTGTATTAGTGTGGTGTGTGTGTGGTATGTGTGATGTGTGTGGTGTGTGTGTGTGTGTGTGTGGTATGTGTGTATGTGTGTGATGTTTGTGTGGTGTGTGTGTATATGTGTGGTGTGGTATGGGAGGGTGTATATATGTATGTGTGTG